GGTCCCTGCCCAGGGCAGGGGGTTGGGGCTAGTTAATCTCTAAGATCCATTCCAACCCCTAAAATTCCATGATTCCCCAGTGTGTGTGTCCCACCCCAGGGTCTCCCCTCTGACGTTTTGTCCCCCCAGCCATGACCATGACCCCCCCGACCGCAGCCCCCGTGCCCCGAAGATCTACACGAAGACAGGAGATGCAGGTACAGCCCTGGGGGCACCGTGAGAGCACCAGGGGCACAGCCCAGCCCAACCTTGAGCTTGTCCCTGGCCCTTCCCACAGGATTCTCCAGCACCTTCACCGGGGAGCGACGGCCCAAGGATGACAGGATCTTTGCAGCCCTGGGAGCCACGGACGAGCTGAGCTCAGCCATAGGGTGAGGACCAGCCAGAAGGGCCCAGACCCTGTGGGTTTCACATGGAAAAACGTGGGTGTGGTGATCTTCCATTGCCTGCTAACTCTGGTTTGGTTTTTATGCCCCAACCCAGACTTGCTGGGGAGTTCAGCAGTGAAAAGGGTCACACCTTTGTGGAGCAACTTCACAAGGTTAGTGTTGATAATCTTCACCCAGTGCAGTCACTTGGTCTCTGCTGTTACATAGAAACTCTTCAGTTTTGGCCACATTGCTCCCACTGGCACACAAGAATGACAGCTGTTCCCATTTTTGTCCCCACTGCCATGTGCAGGTACAGTGCATGCTGCAGGATGTGGGCTCCAACCTCGCCACGCCGCTCTCCTCAGCCAGGGAGGCTCACCTCAGTAAGCTCTTCATGCCTTTCCTGGGATCACAGGTTGGGACACAGCCTGGGAGGGTGGTTGGAGCTGCCTGAGGGTGCTCTGTGGGGTGTTGGGGTGCTGGGGGAGGAGGAGGGGGAGTGGCTGAGGGAGCTGGGAGGGCTCAGCCTGGAATAAAGGAGACTCAGGGGGAACCTTTTCACTCTACAACTCCCTGCCAGGAGGTGCAGCCAGGTGAGGTCAGGCTCTGCTTCCAGGGAACAAGGGACAGGACCAGAGGAAGCACCTCAAGCTGTGCCAGGGGAGGGTCAGGCTGAGCATCAGGAGGAATTTCTCCATGGAAAGGGCTGTGAGGCATTGAAATGTGCTGCCCAGGGAGGTGGTGGAGTCACCATCCCTGGAGGTGTTCAAGGAACAACTGGCACTCAGTGCTCTGGTCTAGCTGACAAAGGTGATGATGGTCACAGGTTGGATTTGATGATCCTGGAGCACTTTTCCAGCCTCAGGGGTTGTGTGACTCACAGCCCTGGGTGCTGGGTGAGGACACACTGTCCCACCAGCTGCTGTCTGTGGGACCCAAGCGATGGCAGCACTGCCCCAGTCCCACCCAGCCCTGCTGTAGCAGGAGGAACCTTTTGGGATGCTTTTTTTAGGACCTGCTGATCCAGGAAAAAGCAAAAAAATAGAGCTCTATCTGTAGACTGAATAATTTCTGAATCACTTCTTTTTTTAGCTGACTCTTCTTTCCCCCCTCAGAACGAACCTCCTTCAGTGAGAAGCCTGTGCTGGAGCTGGAGCAGTGGATTGACAGCTACTCTGAGCAGCTCCCTCCCCTCAGAACCTTCATCCTGCCTGTAGGTACTGCCTGTGCCTCTCCCTCACTGCAGGAGCCTCACTCCTTAGGGGGAAAACAGGTTGGGAGGCTGAAATTTTCACAGGCAAACACCAGAAGAAAAGCAGAGAGAAGGATGGGGAGTTAAACTTCCCCATCCTGCAGCACTCAGCTGTGCTCCCCTTGCCCAGCCAGGGCAGAGGGATCAGTGCTGTGTGTGTGGGAGGTGCTGAGCTGCCCCAGGCAGTGCAGGGGTGCTGTGTGCTGCTGGCACTGAGTGTGTGTCGTTGCTGTTGCAGTCAGGAGGCAGAAGCAGTGCTGCTCTGCACTTCTCCCGAGCCGTGTGCCGCAGGGCCGAGAGGTGGTGAGTACTGGGCTGCAATTCTCTCATCCAGGGGCATGGGCACACTGCAGCCACAGCACAGCCTTGCAGTGGGGCCACCAGTGGGTGGCACTCAGGGCTGGAGCCAAGGTTTTGTGTTAGGCAGCTCACAGCCAGGCTGTGGGTCTGCCCTCCCCTGGGCTGGGGGATGTGGGGCAGCACAGACAGCTTTGTGTGGAAGTGCAGCTACCTGTGCAGCTCCTGTCTGGCCTGGTAAATGTAGGAAGTTGGGGCACTGGCAGCTGTGAGATCCAGGGAAGCTCCTCACAGCTTAAGATGTCCTTGGAGGTGTTTGGGACTGGGTTGGATGGGACTTAGAGCAACCTGGGCTAGTGGAAGGTGTCCCTGCTCATGGCAGGGGGTGGAATGAGATGAGTTTTAAGGTCCTTCCAATCCAAACCTGTCTGGGATTCTGCAGCCCTATCCAACCTGGCTTTGAACACTTCCAGGGATGGGGTATCCCTGGAGGAGCTGCAGGACTCCAGGACAGACACAGTGGCATCATTCCTCCCCTTCCTTTGGGGAAGCAAACAGCCTTCCCAGGTGCTGGGGGAGTCTGAGTGGGGTCCCCAGGGTAGGTTTGGGGTGTGAAGGGACTCCAGCAAATCACAGCCTTTGTGCACTCACAGCCAGAAAGTCAAACACTGACTTTTTCCTTGTCTTTTCCCAGCGTGGTTCCTTTAGTCCAAGCAGGAGAAGCAGATCCAAATGTGGCCAAGTATTTAAACAGGTAAGAAAATAAAATCCCAACCCCTTGCTCTGTCCTGCTCAAGCATTTCTGGTGGTGCTCCCATCAGGATAAAAACTGTGGGGTTTTGCCTTTCAAGAAGCTTCTCTTTGGAAGGAACATCTTTGAAATGGTTTTCCTGCTTTTTCCCTTGTTTCCAGGCTCAGTGACTATCTCTTTGTCTTGGCACGTTATGCTGCAATGAAGGAAGGGAAGGAAGAGAAAATATACATAAAACCTGAGCCATAACTGGGAGGTGGAATGCTTCTTTCCTTGGTCATGGAATCCAGCAGACTGCTTTTGTCCATCAAGGAAGGGAAAGAAAAAAGCCTGGAGTGGGAATGGGAACTGCCAGGAACTTCCAGGACCTTGTTGGTAAATCCAGAGAGGAACACTGTTCTGTTCTCTGGGCCTGGTCCACACGTCCCAGCTGGTGATGGCACTGGAGTCACTGCTTCTCCCAGGTTGGATTCGAGGCAGGAGAATTCCAAGAACATTGTGGGGTTGTCTTGATTTCCCTGGGCAGCAGCAGGTGCTGTGGGAAAGGCTTTGGCCTTTTTGTGGAGTACAAACAACCGGAAACTTGTTCCCCTCTGGCTCTGTGTCCCTCTCTGGGCAGTGAGAGCTCCTGCTGCTAACACATCCCCTGTCTCATCACTCACCTGGGCTTTAAGCAGGTATTTCATGGCTGTTGTTAATGCCCATTTTTCACAGAGCAGTTTTCCAAGCCTCAGCCTGGAACACAGCCCAGTGACAAATGCTCTGGGTTTGGATGGTCCTGTCAGCTGCACTGTCACCTCAGCATTCCCTCAGTGCCTCCTCC